AAAACTGTGGCATCAATAAATCATCTTTACTTTGCTTTAAAACTGCCTCAGTGAAGGTCCTTGTTAGGGCTCTGAGGTGGGTAAAGTGCTTCAGGGAAAGTCCTTATGGTGGGACTTGGAAGCAGCAACTTTGTGAAGTTGTTTTAGTGAAAATCTTCTTTGGGACTCTGAGACAGGCAAAGGTCCTTTTTATGTGACACTCATACATGTCATTGACAGACTATATCCCCATCATGCAGAAAATATTACTGTGTATATGATCATGGTTGTTCTTAAAAATCAGATGGGGTTCACAATCAACATGAGATTTTAAGTCTTTCATGTTTAAGAAGTCTTTATGAAGTTCATACAGATGCCCAACCACAAAAATTGTACACTTGTACTTGCTTCCCCCTTTAGAGATTATATTTCTAGAGGGGAGTATTTGGATGTGATGTGCTTTAAATAAAGGGTTGAAAGCAATTCACAATCTATACCTAGGTAATTTTGTTTAAACTGATAAAAGCTGTGTCACTTGTTAAAAAGAAGGTTTTAATCATAAAAGTAGCAATTGTCACCAGTCTCTCTGGAATATCTTCTCTTAGTGAGCTGTTTCCAGGTGTCTTGCTTTCTGGAGTAGATTAAATAGTGTAAGTAAACAAACACTGCACCATGTTAATATTTAGGCAGCTGCTTGAATGACTATTTGTATAAATTATTGGGTTTGTGGCAGCCGAGCATTGATCTAGGCCCCAGCTGAGCTGCATCTTTTTAATGTAATAATGTTTCACATATACAGTAAAAATTGCAGTAGATTGCACTGTTTGCTATTTATTTCTGAAATAACTCTGCACTTCCTTTATTGTAGCAGGAAGTTTGCCTCAATTAAAATCACACAACTGAGCTTCCTAGAGCAAAAATTAGAAATCCATGCATTCTAGCATCAGTAACAACAAGCATTGTATGGACAGACCTGAAGCAGAGAAACTGCCAGTCATTAGGCTTTAATAAGGTTGTATGTCAGCATATGTATAGGAGACACTTTATTCAGAGTGCAAAACAAGGACCTAATGCAGGAAGAGAAAGGGCTGAAGAATGGTTTTAGGCAAAAAAAATTGCTAAAGATGTGTGACTTTATTCAAATACAAAACCTTTATCCAGGCAAATTTGCTTCATGTTGAAGAAAATGTCTGTGAGATTTTATCTGTATCTTGCCAATGAAAATGGTATTTGAAGAACAGTTATTCCTAATGTAATTTGCAGGATGTACATTATCAGACAAGCAAGATCACTATTTTTTTAACCTTAAGATTAACAAAATGCACATGTCAATCTATCCCAACTCTATTCCTTCAAAAGTCCTTCGTAAATGTGAACCTTGAGGTTAGTTAAGAATTCAAAGCACACCTCATGAATGTTCAGATATTATACCCTTTAGAACACTCAACAAATATCTATGTTGAAAACCAATCTCCCACTACATCATTGTATTTCTGTCCTAAACCTCAGGGCTAGAGACACAAACAGGTTGGCATGTGCAGCACTAACATTGTTCAGTTTCTGGTCATGCTCACCTACCCCAAACTCATTTCAGTTCTTCTGGTTTTAGCAATTTTAGCTATTTTCTATATTATTACCTGTATACTGTCTCTGCATAAACTCTGGAGTGCCTAAACCAGAAATCTTACTGCATTAGAAAGGATAGTTATTTCTCCTAAAAACTTTGCATGCTCAAGTGCCACAAATGCAGATGACAAAGCCCTCTTTTGTACAGGGACATGTAGCTACAGCAAAAACGCAAAGGAGGAAAATGATGATTGCTTTTCCAGGGCCTCTTAACTCCAATCTGAAGAGGGACTGGTTAGGCAGATGAGACTAAAGATTTATCTCAATCCTGCTGGTGTCACAAAGGATTATGAAGTTAAAGGGTACCAAACAACTGGATATCCATAAGGAGCCTGAAGCACCAAAATTACCACTTGTGGAGTACAGTTTGCATAGAACAACATTTGTTTACACACAGTCCTCAGTCACAAAATGACACTATTTCTTGACTACCTTTCTCCTTCCAATGCCTCACTAATTTGTTTGTTACTGTTGTGTACCTGGAGTTCTGTAGTTCAATGTACAACAAAGTAACAGTACCTTTCAAAAGCCAGTGAAGTACTTGAAAGGAAAATAACCATTCTAAGCTGGCATTTTAACCAACTGATTTTGCATTGTTGTACATACAGCTGACTAGATTTACCTAAAAGAGTAAAAACTAGTCATTGCAACAACTACTTGGTCATTGTAATTATAGCAGAGATGACCTTGTTTATCAAGATGATGAAAAAGTAGCAACAGCTTTTTCAACCATGCTGGTAAGAGAGTAGTGCAGATATGTGTTTAAAGATGCATGACCAGGAAGAACAAGATTTAAAAAAAAACAAACAACAACAAAACACAACAAACAAAACTGAGGCAAATACTTTTTTGTTTAAAATAGGCTATTTTCTGCATCTTTAGAAATGAGCACTTAGTTGTTGCTTTCCTTCATTAGGAAATGAGGACAGTATTTCCATACTGCAAACAAAAAAATTCAGACAAATGGTAAACCCGGTACAGTAACATTCACCTTAAATTTGCACTAATTATAAAGACAGCCTAATGTTCATGTAACTTAAAACCCAAGAAAATGTAAAAATATGGTCTAACCTGGATTGCCTCCTGTGAACAACTGAGTTCCTTGCTTGTATTCTAAATAACCATAAACATAAACACACGTTCTTCTTATCTCCATGTGTTGCTACTGAATTGGCAAGATCAAAGAGCATTGGAAAATAAACAATATTCCTGATGTATTTGGTAATTAAGCACTGCAATTAGTGCAGAAACTATACTGCCCCCTTTTAGTTCACCTCCTAGACAAATGCTCTGTTAGAAATCATAGCTCATGCTGGTTTCTTTTAAGTGGTCTTTTAAACACTTTAATAGCTGTGAAATCTAATTGAAAAATAGAAAGGGTGAGGTTTGCTTGGTGTGTGTTTATTTTTTTTTAACTTTGAATTACCTAATCTGAATTGCTTGGAAGCCAAAGTTGATTTCTTTGAATGAAGTTTCTGTCATTAAAAATCAAATTCAAATTGCACTGATGTTTTAATGCACTAGGTGGCATAATGATATTCACATTAGAGCAAATTAAGTGCTCCACCACCACCCAGATACTTAGTTGGATAATAGAAGCTGCCTTTTCTTCCAGATAGAAAGTCCTTTAGTAATTACTGTAATTATAGGAATGCTAATATTGTTAACCCTCTTTTTAGTTCTTTGCAAGAACACTTCATATTTTAAAAGAAAGCATAAAAAACTGGAATGCTGTTCACATCAAAATACTATTCATCTGATCCATGAACTTTCCATTGACTCTATGGTGAGAATATTTTGTTGCTTCTAAATAGGTGTCCAAGAAGGGTAGAGAGAGAGTACAAAGAGTATCAAAACTTTCTTGTTTACTGTCCTTCCTCAGGTCTATAAACTATAAAATCTGGGCTGTCACCAGTTGATAGATTACTTACAGATAACACAGCATTGTACTGGCCTGTGTTCTTTAACTTCCTTGCAGACAAGGTGCCAACGTTTGTTTTGATCTATGAAATAGCCCATTCTCCCCCACCAGAAACCCAGGTATGTACTAGATTCACATAACTTATGAATCCTCAGCAACACAATTTTAGGCAAAGTTGACCAAGTGATAACCAAATACTCACGTCATAAAATTTTCTGTCCAGTCAGGTCAGTAGGATTAATGTCCAGCCCCTCATGTTGCAGACTTAGTTTTTGCCAAGGTTTGATTTAAGAATTGAAGGCCCACATACTGAAAGCAATTGTAAGGATTTCATTTAAAAATTCCTTTAAACCCTACTCCAACACCAATTGTGACAAAATTTAAGCTGACCAATTTAACTTGTGACCAACATTAAAGCAGATCAAATACATATGAGCTTGAGTCATCACTTTTTCTAAGACTCTTGTTTTGTCAGCTTTGTTATGGGCCACATTAAATACACGTTGACTCTGCCAGGAACTGGACCAGGTGAGTTGAATCGATTTTTTCCATTTGTAACTCTATTAATTCTACTGTTATAGTGGACATAATGAAAGATCTTTTTAGACTGACCCTGGTGTCAGTCTGAACCAGCATTATGTCAAAAAAAATTTAAGTCATCTTCATTTACTGTAAGCTCAGAGACTTGCCTTTTGCTGCAGATGTTCTGTCACAGTTTGCTTGAATTTTGGGCAGTAAATTACAAGTTATGTCAAAGTAAAGTGGCAGTGAAATTATTTATCATTAACTTGAAGAGGCAATTATTCAGCTGTGGAAAATGACTGGTTTATGAAATACAAAGGATGAGATCATGATTTATTGACCAGAAGTGTTCGTTTTCCAAAATACAGCAGTATTTAGTGTGAGTGAGAAAAGAATGGAGCCTAAGCAGGTGATACAGTTTTAACTGGATACTGTTTTAATACTTGCCATCCCAGTTAAAATTGGCTTTTAGGAGACATGTTGCTGATTAGCAGAGATGTTTTTCTATAGGCTACCTGCTATTTCTGTCCCAATTCTCTCTCTGCAATTACAACAGGTGCCCTACCTAAGCATCTGCAAAGGTACAAAGATTTCTGTGTTTTAAGGGTTATTTGAAATATTGGACTATCTAAACAAACACTTCAGAGAGTCTCAAAATTATAGACTCTTCTTTTATTTTTATTTTTTTTTACGTCATCTCTAATGTATTTAGCTGCTCTCTGAAAATTATCCCCACTTAGAAAGCTTATTTCTGCAAGCAACCAAATAGAATAATCAAATTATTCTATCAAGGGCTAATTTTATAAAGACTGAAGATTTGTTCAGCAGAGAAAAAGTGAGGCTAGCATGGAACATAACAGCAAACACCACCAAGTTATCAATTCCTAGAAGAGATTGAAGAGGACCTTCTCTATTTCATGATGCAGTCAGTGAAGAACACTGAAGTGCCTACCTTCTCCAGCTGATGCATCCCTTCCTCTACACAGCAAATGGATGCCAGAGTTCTCAGTGTCTGGGGATAAAGGCACCTGAAACAATCCTGGCGACATATCTTAAAGAGAGCAACCACACCTCCTTCCTGCAGGGGAAAAGCAAAAATCAGGAAAGTAGCATTGAATGTTTCCCTGGTATTTGACAGAGATTGGGATGGGGGGTGGATTCTTTTAGTAATTTGTCTAAATTATCTGTTATCAAAACACCAACAAAGAGGATGTTAAACTCACACAGAGAATTCAAGTTGATTAATGCTTATACACTAAGTGGTGAAAAAGTAATACAGCCTCAGTGGGAGGTGTGCTTAAGTGATTGACTTTTACCAATTACAAGCACAATTTACATTAAACTTGACATTCATGTGAAAATTACAAAGAATTATCAATAGGTGGCAATTAAAGGGACATTTAAGTGACAGTCCAACCTTATGCTATTAATTTTAAAGAAGTTTGTGTTAGCATGCATTTCTCATTCCTATGCATTTCAGAGCTCCATACAACATTTACCTCATGCTAAAATAAGAAAGAGAAGGTCATATTGTTAAAGAGCTACTGCAAATAATGTGAAAACAGGTGTAAAGTTCTATACTGATATAATCCATATCTTCACCCTCTAATAAATAAAAGTTACATTCCTACACATTTTTTCTTTACATGTGGCAAAAATGACAAAGATTTGAGAACATATATACCCTTACAGCAGCTATCCTTAATAATTTCCAACACAATTTGTAAACATGTAAGTGTTGCAAAGTTCACATAAAAAATTGAAAGAAACAAATAAATACAGACAACCTATGTACCTCATGTGGTGGGGTTTTTTTTGATTGTCCTACATTTCAAAATGTTAAGCTATCAGGTAGACTACAGATACTTTTATGGAAAATCAGCCATATAGTGAGTAAGAAAGCATTTAAAATATTAAACTCAGACTAAAGTATTCCAATTACATTAGTAAAGTGAAAATAGTTGGAATCATGGACCAAGTGTAATATATACCCTGTAACATATTCACAGAAATAATCTTTTTCTCCTCAAGCATTTGTTACTTGAAAACTCAACAGACTGTACTGACATAAAACCTCAGAATTCACTTTTAAAGAATTCTACATTATTTGTACTAGTTCTATTGGGAGTAGAGAATAATAGATCTAGCAAAGCTATCTGTTCAGTCTAACAAAAATATATATACCAATTTGTAAGAAAATTAGAGTAAGACAATTAGCACCTCAATATGTTTAAGATAATTTTTTTCTGTCTTTGCACCTGTATAAGTAATTTCTGTTAGATCAATGAAAACACTAGGCTTACAGAAGTTTGTTAAGAGTAAAATTAATTTCTGAGATTGTAAAAAGTGCACATGTATCTCTGTAAGTTTTTATATTTAGTACTGCTATCTATAGCCTACTGCAGAAAGATATTTCTGAGCCTTTAAACTAAAAAAAAACCGCAGTACACTAACAGAAAAAAGTTCGTCTTATTTGCCTTCCACAAAAGGATATTGATATTTTACCCAAGCAATAATTAAATTATCTGTGAAAAATACAGAGAAAAAACTATTACAGTGTTTTCCCCAAATCTAACATAACTGGGATTTATGTTTTAAATTTCATTCTCAGTTTGCAAGTGGAATCAGACATGATCCAATTCTCTGCTCCAGTCTTAATGAGCAGAAGTTAGTGAAGAACACTAGCAAAGCTCAGGTGATGTTGGCACATTTGGTTCAGGCTTTCTCTGTGACAGATGGATGCCCTGCTTTTGCCCCTGATGAACAGGAAGAGATTTATCACTGCATTTGTCAGGAAGAGATCTAAACCGTTTATTTTGTACCCTCTGGGCCATTACCAAGCTGTAAAATACTGATCTCTAGTAATGAATCTAGAGAGCTGTAAATGAAATATGGAACAGAGTCTGACTCTATGGCTTGTCAAAAACACTCCTCTCACTACGCATTCCTCAGGATATATTCACCTTTCTCAAGATTTGTCTCCTGTATCTTTTACAGTGATGACAAAACTATTCTATCTGATAGGGATGCATAGAAATTGGTCAAATGGACAAACTACAGTTCAAAGAAACATCTCAGCACTGAGTGTTTGATTGCTTTGGAGATTAACTTGCATCTTTCCAAAAGCTCTTGATATGTCTAAGCATGCTTTTATTTATCTTTTGCAGACTTTTTGGCATTTCCAGTTTTTTACCAAATAACATATCAAATGCTGCTCTTGACATGAACCTTACTCTCCACATTCTTCTGGGATGGGTTTCAAATGCTCTATATAAAGCAGAATCTGAAAGAGAGAACTTGCTTTATTGCTTTATGACCTATTTCTCTCCTATATTGGATCAACAGGAATTCAATTTTGTGGAAACATTCCTGAGATGCTGTTCTGAAAAGCTAGCAGTAGATAACAAAATCATCTGCAATAAAATCACAAAAAGCATGCTAAAGAGGTCATGAGTATAGAAAGCCCCACCATGCATAGTGAGTTGAGTGAATAAGGAGGAGAAAAAGAACATTCAACTCTATGCTATTGCATTTTGTAGTTTCAGCCTGAAATTATTCAAAGTGTAGTGAATTCTCAAGTCTTTCCTCATGATGGAGGACAACATTTGAGTAGCTTGAAAGATGATCTCCAAAAAAATCTTCATAGTAAATACTTGTTAGAAAAGGAACTGATGTACTAAGTAGGTAAGGCCAAGATGTATTAAAAGCTTCTCAGAGCAAGGAATCTCCTGCATATCCATATGGGAATCAAACAGTCAAGCATTCTACAAAGAAGGATGTTACAGCTGTACCTGCTTATCTTCATAATCCTTGGTTTTGCCTTTTTTTTAGTAGACTATTATTATAGTAACCAGTTCAATACAGTTGGTATCTAATTATCATCAGTGAAATGGACTAATTTGCAAAGAATTTTTTTATCACTCTATGTCCCAGTATTTATTGAAACTGTGAAACTGATTCTTACTGATTCTTCTGGTTGTTATGAAGCCAAATCAATTCAGAACCAGTCTACTTCAAGTAATGTTTATTTCTGACAATTGCTTAAGTACATTCAAAATTTATAATTTGGGGTTTTAATGTCTCCTTATGCTTTCAGCATGTGAAGGTAGAGTTTTAACAATCAAGACTAATTTATAATTTTTAATATGAAAGATCCCAGGATCAAAATCTAGTAGATACAATACAATAAAAAAGACTTGTTAATACATGCCTGCAATGTAAGCCCAGACAATGATACAAGTTAGTCACACTGTTTGATGCTTAAGTATGTGTCATAAGACTTGACAGAGTATTTTAGCAACATTTGGTTCCAAAGGTAAGGAACAGATCCATAGATAGAAACCTAACCAAAGTTTTCCCTGGTAGTTGCAACAAATGCTCTACTTGGCTCTTCCTTTTCTCATTTTCTCTTTTTACTTTTAAAATTATCTGAACTGCTGGAGTTTCCATTATGCTGACACCAGCATAGCTGCCTGAAGGTGAACACTGCGTATTATGGTTCAAACCTCACAGTTCAACATTGGTTCTTCTATTAGCTCAGAATTCAAGGATTATTATTATTTAGGCTTCATTTCTCACCCTCACTACTACTCATTTGCGTCAGAAATCTTAGTCTTTATATTTCTGACAGCTAGTGAGAACCACTAGCTGGCTGCCAGGATGACTCAGCAACAGGATCCTTTCACAGCAGATTACAAGTTACATGTTAAAAAAAAAAAAAAAAAAAAAAAAGAATGCCTCATGGTGGAATAAAATTCTAGGTGACACTTCAGCATGGGGGGGTTAGCACTTCAAAGCATTTTTAAATCTTGTTAAAATATTAGTGGGGAGAGGAGGAGAAGAGAGAGAAAGGACCAGAAACCAGTTCCTATAATATTGTTCTGCAAGATCACACATTGTCGTGGAAAATAAGAATTCAAGGTTACATGACCAAATTTCATAGAATCATAGAATCTCTTTGGTTGGAAAAGACCTTTAAGATCACAAAGTCCAACCATCAACTCAGCACTGCCAAGTCCACTACTAAGAACCACATCTGCAGCTTCCACAAGCCTGTAGCATTGCATGGGGTTGTTGGGACCCAAGTGCAGGACTTAGCACCAACCCATGATGAATGTCACCCAGTTGGCCTTGGTCCATTGATTCAGCCTGTCCAGATCCTTCTGGAGAACCTTCCTACCCTCAAGCACATCAACACCCCCACCAAACTTGGTGTTATCTGCAAGCTTACTGAGGGTGCACTCAATCCCCTCATTCAGATCATTGATAAAGATATTAAACAGAACTGGCCCAAATACTGAGCCCCGGGAAGCACCAGTTGTGACTGGCCACCAGCTGGATTTAGCTCCATTCACCACAGTGCTTTGGTCCCAGCCATTCAGCCAGTCCCTCACCCAGTGAACTGTATGTCTGTCCATCCCATGGCCAGCCAGTTTCTCCAAAATAATGCTCTAGGAAACAATGCTCTAGGCAGATCTCACAGCCTTTTCCTCATCCGCTGAACAGGTCACCTTGTCATAGAAGGAGATTGGTTTAGTCAAGCAGGACCTGCATTTCATAAACACGTGTAGACTTGGCCTGATCACTTTGTTGTCCTGCATGTGCTGTGTGATGGCACTCAAGATGACCTGTTCCATACCCTTTCCTGGTACTGAGGCCAGCCTGACAGACCTTTAGTTCCCTGGATTCTCCTTCCAGCCCTTCCTGTAGGTGGGCATCATATTTGCTAACCATCAGTCAACTGGGACCTCCCCTGTTAGGCAAGATTGCTGACGGATAATGGAATTGGCTTGCTGAGCACTTCCACTAGCTCCTCAGTACCCTTGGATCCCATCAAGCCCCATAGACCTGTGTATGTCCAAGTGGTGTAGCAGGTCTCTAACCATTTCATCTTGGATTATGGGAGCTTCATTCTGCTCTCCATCTCTGTCTTCCAGTTCAGGGGGCTGGGTACCCAGAAAACAACGGGCCTTACTACTAAAGACTGACATGAAGAAGGCCTGAAGTACCTCAGCCTTTTCCTCATCCTTTGTTCCCCGCATGCAATAAGGGTTGGAGATTTCCCTTGGCCTTCCTTTTGTGGCTCATTTATAGAAATGTTTTTTATTGTACTTTATGGCAGTAGCCAGATTCTACTTGGCCCTTCTGATTTTCTCCCTGCATAGCCTAACAACACCTTTGTAGTCCTCCTGAGTGGCCTGCCCCTTCTTCCAAAGACCATAAATTCTCATTTTTTTCCTGAGTTCCATCCAAACCTGTCTGTTAAGCCAGGCTGGTCTTCTTCCCCTTGACTCATCTTTTGGCACACAGTGACAACCTGCTCCCGCACCTCTAAATTTCCTTCTTAAAGAGTGCCCAGCCTTCCTGGACCCTTTGCCCTTCAGGACTGCTTCCCAGGGGACTCTGTCAACCAGGCTCCTCAACAGGCCACAGTGTTCCCTCTGGAAGTCCAAGGTAGCAGTGCTGGTGACCTCTCCTCCCTACTTCTCAAGAGTAGAAAACTAATGTTTTGTGATCACTTTGTCCAAGAGGGCCTCCAACTGTCACATCACCTACAATTCCTTCTCTGTTGCAAGCAGCAGGTCAGCAGGGGGCCTTCCCTTGTTGGCTCACTCAGCAGCTGTGTCAGGGAGCTATCTTCCACACACTCCAGGAACCTCCTAGACTGTTTCCTTTCTGCTGTATTGTATTTCCAGCAGACATCTGGCAAGTTGTAGTTTTGTTGAGTTTTACTTTCACTGTAACCAAATATTCCACTTCTCTGGCTAGTTTTTAGCAAAGATAATATGACAAATCTCAAGGGAATATCTGTATCTGCAGGAGGTTGTGAGGTCTTTTCAATTGCATCCATTCTCACCCTCTTAATGACTAGGCACAGCTCCAGATTATTTATTTTTTTTCCAAATCAGCCTGCACTTTCACTTTCATAGTTTATTTTCAATAACAGCAAATTACATTTACTCAAGCAAATGAATTCAAAATTCTGGTCTGTTACGATTCCTCGGCCACCTTGCTCACTGATGCAGATAACTGAGGCAATGCAGAGGGTGAAGGATGATGGTGAGTCAGGACAAATGCATTTCACAGTGCACAGAGGATCAGACACACAGGACAGGTGATGCAATACACCACTGTAATTCAGCAACCAGATTCCACCACTTAGGGTTCTTTGTGTAAGAGGCTGCATCTTTTTGCTTGTAAACCTGTGACACATTCAGGTTTTAGCAAATGCATTCAGTGATTTATGGAAGATCAAACTTCAATTCTGTTAATTAAACTTCTGGAATTAACACAATGATAAAAAACACAGGAGCAGTTATTTTCAATTTGTTAGTTCTGCACTTCCTAAATACTCAACATTTTAACAGTGTTTTTGGATTCCACTGAGTGGAGCTCAAATACCAATTTAGAAAAAATTAAACGTCTCAGGCAGTTGCCAGGATCCACTACACATTTCTGCTTCTACCTCATTCACAGCCTTCAAAACCGAGAAGTACTTTTTATGGTGCCAAACATCCATCCAAAGTCCTATCAGAAGTAAAATGAATGCTGCTGTTTAACTTCACCTGTGAGCAGGACAATGGATTAGCACAACATTCCACAAGCAGAAGCTTGGGAAAGGAGATTTTCTTTATATACAGGCTATGGTTGTGTTTATCTTATTCTCAAGCTCACACAATGCCCTGCCTTTCTCACTTTTTCAAAATCAAAATGTCCTCAAAGGTGTAAACTCTACAGGGATTGTCAGTATCATTGATCTTGGCAGAATTAATAATTTATACCAAAAGGTAGCATCAACTACTCAGTAAATGAGAACACACAATGCCAGAAGTAACTGTAACATTCCTCTCTAAAAGGAAAATAATGGATGCAAAGTGTCTCTAAAATTACTTCTTTAATAATCATAGAATCATATTAATAATATCTCTAAGCTCCCCTGTATACAACACCTGAAGAGGTCTTGCTGTTTCTCTGTGTAGTCATCCATATGCACAGCCAATTTTTAAGTTCCTCTTCACTTACGTAGTTGGTACTTACAAAGTACTGTGAGGAGACATATTAAAAAGATGCCCAAGATGCTGAAGGAAGGCTTAATACATCAGGTGGCACAAAGACAACTGTAGTGAAATCCATGACCAGAAGCCTGTTGGAGCTTACCATCCTACTGCAGTCATTTGCACGGGCATCGAGAGTTACTGATAAACAGGTCAAGGTTTGTGTATTTTGGTTTTTTTAATCTAATGGGATAATTATTGCTTGAAAAAAAAGATAAAAGTAAAAGAAAAGGAAAATAAATAGCTTCTCAGAGTAAGTTTTATGTCCTCTAACCTAAGATTGTCTCCTGAGATACAAAATTTCATCTTGTACATTTCAAAACTTGCAACCACTACTATTTTACTAAGTAAAAGAACTCATTTGTATTACTAGTTTACTTTGGATGACTCCAAATATTCCCTTACCTTGGCTATGATACGGCACAGATGGGCACCTTCCTGGGTAAGGCTGAACAAGCTACTCAGCGCTGACTCAGTGATGTACACACTGTCTGACAATTCTATTTGTCTCAGCAGGTTCTGTGTGACATAAGATAACGAATATAATTTACTTCCAATGAAAAATATTAGAGTTTTATTTAGAGATGAGATGGAGTAGAAAGTTCAGTTCATTTAATCGATGTCATCTTGCTTCTCACCCAGAGGAAAGGAAAAAAATAACTGACAAGCAGCAGGAGTCAGACTGGTAACACTGACACATTTATCATTGCATTTGATTAGATCTAAGAAAGGATAGTGATATTTAAAAATAAATATTAATAAAGAGAACAGACGTGTGAGAACATTCAGTAAAGACCCTCTTCAGATCTATCATAAATTATTATTTGGTTTGGTACGGGATTGAACTGAATTTTTCAGAAGGCAACTGATTGTCTTAGTGTAGTAGCTGTAGCACAAGACAATACAAGATTTCCAACTTATTTGTAAGAAATATTGGTACATCCTTTCCAACATTACTTTTAAGCTCCTAGATTTATCACTATTCTCAGTCTACATAGAAAATGTCATTGATCAATATGATAATTCAATTATCTTCCCTTTAAGAGGCTGTTTTCTCCTACCTCTAGCATTAAAGAAATGTTCCATAAAAGATAACATTTTGTTATGAACCTATCCTGAATAAAATCCTGATACACAGATTAGACACTTAGACTCCTGAGAACACAAATTAAGCCAAGTTCTGGCCTTTTACACAAACGCTTAGTCTGTTCCAGAGCAGCAAGCTACCCACAATGTGGTTGTGTGGCAGAAGTGACTGAATGCAGCCTGCCTGAATGGCTCAGAAAACTTCTTTAAAATCTTTTTATTAAGGACCTTCTAATCCAAGTCTTCAGCCACACAAACACACATGAGGTGATGCAGAGTAATGAATTCTTCCCCCTTAAAGAAAAAAAAAAAAAAAAGGGGTAGGATTGCAGATGTATCAGTAAGTATCAAAATGTCCAAAGACACATACATTAGGAGTGAAGAACTGCTCTTCAGTTTAAAAAGAATAAGCACCAAAACAACCACAACCTACTCAGTGAATATGCAACATGCAAAAATATGTACACATTTCAACTCATATATGGCATTTCATGTAGCTCTTATAAATCTTAACCAAAGTGCATTAGCAAGTTGGTTTGTTGGTTTGACTTTAATTCTGCAAAATACACAATATTTTCTGTAAAATACACAATACCGTGTTTTATCACTAATTATGAGAGTTTAAGACATGCACTGGTTAACATCTGTGGTGTAATAACACATTTGCTGTATGTACCTCTTCTAAAAAGTTTATCCTTTAATGAGGATCATTGAGAGCAAGAGAGACTTTTTCAAGGCTTCTAAAGAAGAGTAGTGTCTGCATCAAAGGAAGAAAACATGTGTCCAAAGGTGTTATTAACAAGAAATTATCCAGAAGTTAGATGCCTTGCAATGAAAGAAGTCTATGAGGAAAAGTAACAGTGAGCCACAAGATCATTTTATTTGGGATTTGAGGTTATTGGAGAATTTGAGAATACAAACACCTCAATCTCTTTGCAAGATATTTGAATTACTAATCATAAGTTTGCTGAAAATTGAGAGCTGTAATTCTAATCCTCCTCTTAATAGATGCTCTCCCTCAAGATCCAAGAATTTCAAAATGTATTTTTTTACCTACAAACTAACCTGTGCCTCATGTGTTAAAACCAGCTCTATCAACTGGCCAAAGTACTGAGCAATGGTTGTGAGCGTCTCGTTAATACAAGACTTCATGGACTTCAGTAGCTGCTCATCTTCAGTTTGTATGCACCTGAAAAGAAAGGAAAGAGATGAAGGAAAAAAGATGCAGACAACTATTGCTTGGCAAACTGATTCTCACAGGTGAGTGTCAGTGTTAATAATGGGGATAAAATGGGGATAAAGCTGCTCATGAGGACACCATCTTTGTGGCATTAGCATCATACCAGACTTCAATCAAAGCTTTGTCTACATGTAGTAAGTATACCAACAAAGTACAACACTGGGCACTAATGAATCATTTTGGGATCACAATTTACTTCACAGACTACAGGCCAAATTTTGGTGCTGATGCTGTGTGTGGCTGAAGACTTGGATTAGAAGGTCCTTAATAAAAAGATTTTAAAGAAGTTTTCCGAGCAATACTGCTATTTACCACTTATGCTAATGGTTATTTACCACTTATGCTAATGGTTAGTCACTCTAGGATGCTTTAGCTTCAACTGCAGCTGTGAATACCCAGCCATCTTTTATGACCAAAGGAGTGCTTTCAATCATTTTTATTCCTTTACCTTCTTTGCCATGGTTTCATGATCACAGGATAAGGAACCAAACTTACGTGTGCCCAGAGGAGTACAGTTAACTTAAATTTAAAAAACATACTCAAAAGTAAGATTTGGCCTTTTATGCAGAAAGATTTCATACAGCAGCTTTACAGAGTTAGCATAACTATCCTGTAACCAGTGACATTTGGCTTTAACTGAAAAAATGAGATAAAGATGGAAAACTTTATACAATTCATATGAAATAACTAATACTTCCTCAGAGAAAGCATTCATTTGAATTGTAAAAATGTATTTAACCCAGGCAGGCCACTGTAAAATGGAAGATGGAGTTTGGTTGATCAGTGTCTCCACCTACACAGTAGGTGCCCTTTCCAGCTTTACCTGTCTTTCGCCCATATACCAACCATTTGTCAACAGACAAGGAGGGAGTGGGCTGATTTGAAGCAGACATTATGAGATCAGAGCTCTCATTAAATCAGTATGTCTCATTGTAGAACACAAAAGTAAATTCTGAGCTCCACAGATTTGGCAAAAAACAATAATTCTCAAGAAATGTTCTTTCCTGATAATTAGATGGTGTCTTTTTCCCTGGTGATCCCTCAAGCAGAATGACTTGCACCATGTTGAAAGTAAATAAAAAAAAAGACTGATGAAACTGTGGTGGTGGAAACAGGATAACTTAGGTTAGGCAGGAGAAATATAATGAGAAGAATGACAAAGATTCTTACTTTCCAGTCTCAACATTCTGGAATGCGTGGAGCTGAGTAAACCTACAACTGCAATTTAAATGAATGTGTATTTATTTTGGTTTGATTTAGAAATGCATGGATATGTGCATACAGGAACATGCAGCACAACAGTCTTGCAACATAAGTTTTCACACCAGCTGAACTCTTGGCTCCACTGAACTCGAAGGGAACTTCATCAGTGATGTCATTAGAGCCAGAGTTTCTCCCTTGATATCTGAAAGCCCTGAAAAACCCTCTTGCATACAGCTTCCTGTCGATGCCAAGCTCTCTGTGCAACAGCAAATCCCATCTTTCATTAGGACGTACTTTAGATAAAAGCAACTCACTTCGCTGAGCAGGGCCTAACATTTAAAGAGCCTGTCAGAGCTGCAGGGGCCTAGTTCAAATATCTAAGGCTGTTAGTGGGTTTGTACTTCTTATTAGAAATTCTACAATACAGTAAAACAACAAACATTAATATTTCAAGTAGAAAATTTAAATTACCTTTCTGTGAAAGCTGTAAATTCTGAGCACTTGTCTATTAAAAGCTTCTCATACTGCAGAGACAGAAAGACAAAGTGTCTTTAAAGCAATATCCATACACACAGTCACTTCTAAAAATATATATAATGTTTATGATAACTAGGTGAAAACCCTTCAGAAACATCATATTTCACATTGACACTCTTTTTCTACTTTTCTGAATAAAATTAGTACAGATAAAACTGAAGTTAATGAAAACAGTATTTTCTATATTGTAAATACAAAGGAACTCACAGGTGGGGCATCTAGTTACTTTAGTTCAGTAGTCCTCAAACCCAAAACATTTGTCAATGCAATTTCTCAGTATTATTAACAATCAGAATCATGTTTATAATAAAATAGGATCCAAAATGAGTCAAGAATATTTCCATTGCTGAAAAGGGATTAGAAATTCTTAAAACAAGGGACCGTTATTGGTATGTAAGGAATTCCTTACAATTCAGTATGTTTTAATTATTAAAATTAAAAAATAAGCAAGACAAACATTAAATCAGGTAAGGCACCCTACCTGTTGCATTTCTTTTGAAGAATTCCTGGTGATTGTATTGTATTCATTTATCATTGAACGCACATGGCAGTTGACTCTTACTGTCATGCTGTGGACTCTCTGCCATCTATTTTTCTCCAGCTTTTGAGCAATCCTGGTCAACTCTGTGCTTATGATCCAAGCTCTTTTTAATAGCAGCTGCAAGTTATCACACGTGTTATACTGTGAGGAAAGGATAAGTTCATTTTGTTCATCCTTCTCAATGCTGATTGGCTTGGACTGGAGAATACACATACATTCACAGTCTGTCATTAACTTCAAATCTTCCATCCATCGCTGAACAGAGTCCACCTGAATTAAGTGCATGCTAGAAGGCAGAGAAAGAGAAAGAATAATTGGATAAGGGAAAACAACTTTAGAATAACCACCACCAAGGCTGATACTCCTTGATGAGTACATCCTTAAACAAGGACAAAGGGCCTGCCTTTTGTGCCCTTGCACCCTCAGCTAGTAAAATTTGGCACCCAAGACAGCAGCTGTATTGAGCTGTTCTGAGTGCATCTGTTCTCATCCCATCTGAGGGATTTCAAGGTCCTCAGAGCCTTGGGGCAGAGCTGCATAGAATTACTCTTGTAGAGAGGTGACCAGATCTTTACAAAAAAAACCTTACTCCTCACCCCAGCCACACACACGTAGAGAGCCAGGTTTTATAAGACATGACTAGTGTTACTAATGTTGTACCTGACAGTATACAAAGATCAGCTACAGGACCCCACATCAGAGAGAGCAAAGTCTGTACAACAGCATTTGTCCTTATCTGCTCTATCTTTGCAGCAGACAGGCTATGGGTTATGCTTTTGCTTCATTTAACACAGGGAATCTCTTAGTGGCAGCACTGATCCCTTTGACTCCCTGGAAATTTGGTCCCTATCTCTAATGCCTGCCAGGTCCACTGCTGCCTTCTGCAGTCTATCAGACCATCTACACAAATACAGGCTCCCAGCTTTGTACTTTGACCATCATCTATCACCCCTAATGCTGGACCACTGCTTCCCTTTGCAGGAGGGACTTGTTCAAGGAGGGGACATCCCCTCTCCCAAGATGTCCCATCTGAACTTTGCTTTCAAACCAGCAACAGACACTGTCCATCTCCAGAAATATTCCTTCTAAAAATTTTTTTCACATTTAACTGTAGGTCCAGATTATTTAAGTTTTCATATGTCCATTCCAGTCCTGACAAGAGACCAGTTTCTCTGCTAAATATATACATATAAAAACATTTTTAATATCAATAGTAGATATATAACAAGCATATGAAGCAACACATATGAGTCTAAGAGACAATTACATAGAGCTAAGGGAAAAAGACAAGAGTTATTGTTAAAAAGAAAGTGATAGTGTTTTCAGATTACTTATTTTCCTTATGTTTATGCAAAAGCTTAAAAGATTCTCAGTTATGGTTGCTAAGATTAACCATAATTGCAATGGTAAAGACTGACTTTATTAATGGCTGTCCCCCACTAGGCCCATTACATCCTCACTCAACACAACATCATTAACTGTTAATAAAGCAAAGTAGGAGGCCCAAAGTTCAAAGAATCCCTGCAATCTCCATTGTATAACAGATTTTCAGATTTCTGATCTACAACAAGGAAAATAGTTTTTCTGACAATTTTCATCAGCTGAAGACTCAGCCCGGATTTTTTTTTGCAAGTTTTATTGACATAAATGTCCTGGTTTGAGCCAGGATGAAGCCAATTTTTCTTTTTACTGATTTTTTTTTCCTTCAGTAAGCTTTCTTGTAACTAGCAACAGTGTGTTCTGCTAGGCTGATAAGACAGTGGAATGTTTTTCTAACTACTGAGGCTTCAAGGCTGCACCTGCACTCTGCTGGCTCAGACACTATAGGGAGATCTGTGACCCCCCCTGTAGGAGGCTGAGTTAGATGGACAGCAAAATTGGCCAAAGATATTCCATTCCATATATCTACGTAAGCTCAAAGGAAGGTCAGAGATCACAGAAGACAACTTCCTTCCTTTCTTCTTCTCCCCTTCTCTTCCATCCATGGCCGGTGTCCAGGGAGGACTCTGTTCATCCATCGCCGTTGATCCTCAGGCTTGATCTCTCCTGACCCCCATAACTCTCTGCTCTGTTCCAGCAGCAGCTCCGGGTTTCCTCGGAACTCTTCCCAGTTCAGGGAAGTGCTGTGGGAGTTGCTGGGGTGGGGGGAGGCGAGAGGCTTTTGCCCATTCCTGAATATATCTGTATATAATTGTATATATTTTCTTGTATCATTCATTAGTGTTTTAATTAAAGCTGTGTAGTTTAGTTTTCAATCCAGCCAAGTCTCTCTCTTTTTCTCTCTCTCCTTCCCTACGTGGGTTGGGGGGAGGGGGGATCAAGAGCATTGTTGTCGGACCTGAGTCAAACTGTGACAATAAAGTATTTCAAAATTTGAGTATGTCTTCTAGTGAAAGACGGATTGATACTAAAGGATTCTGAAGATGAAAGGTAAAGATGAAATTAAATCAAGTGAAAGCAAGAGAGACTGGGCTTAATTATTTTTTTCCAAACATCTATGATTATCCTACAGCTAGTCTGACAGTGTATCTGCAGTTGCATTAGCCAAGCTGAGGATGACCAGGCAGAAGCCTTTTTAATTCTTGTACTTCCTTTTATACACTGAGCACCAGCTGAACTCAAGGAACATCCTTCCAGATCACTGAAGTAAAAATGAGCAAAATTTTCTAACATACATATGAAAAGGAAGCTCACCTCAATATAATTTCATATAAATCAACAGCAAATGAGATACAAGAGATCAGTTTCATTGATCCAATCTCCCTTTTGCTCATACATGATGAAACTACTTTTAATTTTAAACTTTACAGTCGACTGCTATTTAAAGGTTGTTAGTTCACTCAGCTTTGAATATCGTGTAATTGCATTTCATGATCGATTGTGGCTTTCTTCCTTCTTGCTATGTGTAGTCTCCTTATTGCCTTTTTGGATCTGAAGCAAGGTTTCCTAATAAACAAAAATAACAACTTAAGAAGTTTGAGACTGTGATTTATAATGACATGCATAGATTGCATGCAGTACAGGATAAACTCATTTGACAGAGAGTAATGTCTTTTTCATTTCTAAAGTGCACTGTGATAATTGATGAAATCTCTGTTTAGTAAGTACAAATAAACTCCTAAATTATAAATTCACACAAAGAAAAATGTAGAGTAAGAGGTTACTCGGGAAAAAAGTATTTCCTTAAACCCCAAAAGCCAATCTTCACTCTGAGGAGAAAAGAGGATAGAGCTGTACAAAAAAGGTGCAGACATTTTAAAAAAAAAAACCTCTCCTTGTTTGCCTCCATTCCTATTGTCAGTACAACTGTAGATTTTAGGATGTTCTGTAATTGAAACTTAGTATTCCTTAACTCACAACAATGGCAACAATAATTCCATTCACCATCTTTCAGAAAGAACCACAGAAAACTCAATCTGTTCACTATGTCATCTTTTCGGATACATTATTCTTTAAAAGACAGACTTATCATGTTAACTCAAATGAAGTACAAAAATCACTCATTTTCATCCACATCTCCCTGTATTTAGAGGAAATCTTCCTAACCATTCAGCAGATGAATTTGTAGATTATTTCTTTAAATTTTAAAATAAGGAAAGCAGAAAGTGTGATCATTCCTAACAAGCTATTAAGAATCATATTCCAGTTAGCATTTACTAAACTCCAAAAACAAGTTGAACATTTTTGTCTACCCATTACTGAAAAAAAACACCCCTACACCTACAAAATAAAAGGAGCCATAATGGGTCTGACCAAAAAAATCTGTCTAGCCCATTATCTTGCTCCCAGCATGACCATTAGGAGATGCATAAGGAAAGATTATAAGAGGCATAGCAGGAGCTGAGCAACCCCCTCCTTTCCATCTTCTAGCAATTAGTGGTTTAGGAACTTCCTAAGCCAGGAGTTGTGTCTGAGCAGGATGTTTTTACAATTCATGAAACACAAGTAGCCATTAATCCCTTTTTGAACTCAGTTAAACTTTCGGCCTTCACAACATCTAGTGGCAGCGTCTGAGACATTTTTTGATCATTTTTTGGTATGAAAAAGTGCTTATTTTTTTGTTTTAACTTTGCTGCCTAGAGATATTAAAACAAGCTCTTCCATTCTTGTATGCTGAGATACTGAAATGGTAGTTCCACATCCACCCTCCTTGTGTAATTTATTTTATTTACCCTATGCTATCTTATCCTAGTTACTTCTAAGGCAGAGAAACTCTAGTCTGTCACCATACAGAAGTGATTTTACTTTTCTAATCACCAACTTACTTTCCCCACCTTTTCCAAAAGCTTTCTTCAGTTTTTCTATGTCCTAAGATGTGATAGTAAGAACTGCACACAATATCCAAGATTCAGGTGATTTATGGATTTATACATTTGAATTATATTTTCTGCACTATACATATTTTCCAAGAATTCACAAAACTAAATTCCTCCTAAATGTTTTCCAGGGAGCTGTTTCATACCTTCCAGAAAATCTACATATTTCATTTCAGAATCTTTTCCACTAATTAAACTGCATAATTTAGAGTTTGTTATTCTGTATCTAGGATGGAAGTGATAGTTCTTCATTTCTCTTCCCCTCCTCACATATACTACTTTATGTTCACTAACATATAATTTATTCTGGCATTTTATAGCTCAGTGATTCAATATTTTGAGACTTCTTGTTTT